CGGAGCCGCTTTTACTTAGAATGTTTTATATTTCCCGGTAAAAAAAAAAGAAAAGACAAAAACAGTATAAACAAAACCAACAACAAAAATTAAGAGAAAACAATTCCTTAAAGTTAATCTTTTATGTGCCGTATCTATACATGGCTCTTCCTAACCTCCTATTCTTTTTATCTTTCAGTAATCTTTATCCTCTAAGCCTCGCTCACATTCCTGTTGTGTCATTTACCGCTTTTACCTTCAGTATGTGAGTGTCAAATTCTTTAAGCTTTCTATGTTTATGTCCCCAAAATTTCAGCTGTCCTTTTCTAGGTCTCATAATGAAGAAAGTCGTCCTGGGTATGACGATAAACTAAATCTGGCAGCAAGGCCTCTGATCGGGAGGTTTTGAGGAGCGTGCAACCACCTCTTAATTGCTGATGTTCCCAGGTTTAACCTAATCCGGTGTAATAGCACCTGTTGGTTAATCCCCAAACTTGGGTCAAAATAACATGAAAGCATAAAAATAGAATTTTATATTAAAAATACCAGCAATGCATTTTTGAAAAAAATACTAGCAATGCATTTGACTGAATAATTGATTTCTTACAAATACATATTCTGTTCATTTGAACCTATCCTAAAATTCTTGTCGGCATTAAATAACCCATTGAGTGTGATATGTCGTAAAACAAAATAAACCGAGCCAAACCAGACTCTACAAAAACACGATTTACAAAAATACGTTCATGAAACCTGATCTTGAAACTGATATCTTACAAAGAATACATATTCTGTTTATACGAATATATCCTAAAAATCTTGTCGGCAGTAAATAACCCATTGATGTGTTGATATGTAGTAAAACAAAATAAACCAAATCTAACCACTTTCGACAAAAAAAAAAAAAAACTCTTTACGAAAATACATCAATTTAACCTGATCTACAAACTGATTTCTTACAAAGTATACATATTCTGTTCATCGCCTGTGTATTGCAATACAACAAAATGGGGACGTACCGGACATATACTTAGAATCAGAAGGAGACAGTTGAAATTTCTGCGACACGTAATGAGAATTGAAGAATCAGACACTAAACAATACAACTGAACCCCAAATGGGACACAGTTAATAGGATATTTAACAAATTTATGTAAATGGATGACATATGTGTAAATAAGGATGGAAATGGTCTGCAAAGGATGGTAAGAGAAGGAATCAAATGTTGCTTAGAACTAAAAAAAGAACTAAAAGTAGTGGAAAGTCAACATCGCCAACGTCTAAACAACGAGGAGTAGAAGAAGAAGAAGAAGAAGAAGAAGAAGTAGTGGACAGTCAACATCGCCAACGTCTAAACGACGAGAAGAAGAAGAAGAAGAAGACGACGATGACAACGAATGCAGAAGAAGAAGATTAGAAGTAGTGGAGAGTCAACATCGCTAACGTCTAAACGACCGGAAGAAGAAGAAGAAGAAGAAGAAGGAGGAGGAGGAGGAGGAGGAGGAAAAGAAGGAGTAGTAGTAGTAGTAGTAGAAGAAGAAGAAGAAGAAGAAGAAGAAGAAGAAGAAGAAGAAGAAGAAGAAGAAGAAAATTAGAAGTAGTGGAAAGTCAACATCGCTAACGTCTAAACGACGGGAAGAAGAAGAAGAAGAAGAAGAAGAAGAAGAAGAAGAAGAAGAAGAAGAAGAAGAAGAAGAAGAAGAAGGAGGAGGAGAAGGAGATATATGTTCCTATATATGTTGTATATTCTGTAAATTTGTCTTCAGAGGCAATTGCTGTATTCCGCCGTAGGCTTCATATTTATCTGAATTATATAATTGAAGACGGATGCTGTAGTTGGTTGAACTGTATAATTGTTAATATTAGTTAACGCGGAAGCCATAAAAAATTACTGAACCGGAAGCCATAAAATTTACTTCAGAATTAATCTCTGATAAGAGCTGAAATTGATTTTAATCTAATCACAGATTATCTAAACTCCCTGGTTGCCATCTATAAACACACACACACACACACACACACACACACACACACACACACACACACACACACACATATATATATATATATATATATATATATATATATATATATATATATATATATATTAGTTGTTGTGGGGTTGCAGGCCGCCATGCAGTATACTTATATGCCTAAACCCCACACTGCCAATGAGGCAGGCAGTCTGTAGCGTGACAATTGGCTGGGGGCTGCCAATCTTGAGGCGGGCGGTAGGTGCCCAATGAGGTGCGATGATTTCTCCGTCCATCGAAAGCCACCCTTGTCGCCTTACACCACGCCAATCAAGCGTTGACTTATAATCGATAGACTCTTGTTTGACGTGTTTTACCGTAGCTGTGAGATAACGATATATATTTTCATATATAAAAAAAATATTGAGCCAAATTGTAAGACAAAATGGAAAAAAGCTTACTTGGGACGCGTTTTATGCAATGAAGTTCTAACGGATGAAACGCGTCACAGGTAAACTTTTTACAGTATATATATATATATATATATATATATATATATATGTTAAGAAATGGACGAGGTCCGACAATTTATTTATTAAAGACATTTTTATTTATGTTTAACGTTGTTATTTTTATAGATACAAGTATTTAAGCAAATGCTCTGTTTATGATAAACAGTATTAAATAACATTTACCGGCCTGAATGTCCGAGAAATTTTCATAGAAAATATTCGTTCATAGACAGGATTCGAACCTGCATCCTATACGGAACCGCCATATACGCTGGCGTGCCTTGACCACTCGGCCACCATGAACCTTATGGTAGACAACGTTAAACATAAATAAAAATGTCTTTAATAAATAAATTGTCGGACCTCGTCCATTTCTTAACATATGACGTCATTTGTTTACATTCGATACGCCAGAGCAAAATGTACGAGATTCATGGAAGATTGTAGTTTATAACAGTAAATTCACCGACCTTGTCTACCATAAGGTTCATGGTGGCCGAGTGGTCAAGGCACGCCAGCGTATATGGCGGTTCCGTATAGGATGCAGGTTCGAATCCTGTCTATGAACGAATATTTTCTATGAAAATTTCTCGGACATTCAGGCCGGTAAATGTTATTTAATACTGTTTATCATAAACAGAGCATTTGCTTAAATACTTGTATCTATAAAAATAACAACGTTAAACATAAATAAAATATATATATATATATATATATATATATATAATCAACAAAGATTACTTAGAAAAATAGTATGACAAATTGGAAAAAACCTTTTGTGAAGCGTTCTGTTAGGATTTCTTCATTGGACTAGGCTTTGTTGATGTTGTCACGTCTGCACATGCGCATGAACGCTGATGGCTTCAAAATTTTTGGAAGTATATTTTTGAAAGAAATGTATATATATTTTTTGGAAAGAATACTTTTTCAATCGAGCCAAATTCATCTGTAATTTTTTTTCTTTTTCTATCAATTACCTTTGTCCACAGTAAATTTGCGTCCAGGCTCTTTCAATATATCACCATTCTTGATAGATTTTCTGTTGTCACAATGAATGATAGTCAGCGACAAAGGTGATGGAGAAAAAAAAGAAGAAAAAAATTCTTTCAAAAATTTTGAAACTACCAGCGTCCCTCGTTTTATGCGCATGTGTAGACGTGACAACATCAACAAAGTACAGTCTAATGAAATCCTAACAGATGAAACACAAAATTTTTTGCACTCTGTCATGCTATTTTTCTCTCTCTCTCTCTCTCTCTCTCTCTCTCTATATATATATATATATATATATATATATATATATATATATATATATGCGCGTGCGTGCAAGTGACAAAATTATAGTGTAATTATTTAAATAAACAAAATGAAAATTTGAAGTTTATTCAAGTATTATACATTTTAGTGGGATATTTGTTCTAATTTGTTTGAAATCAATTTGTGGATTTTGGGTTCAATGACGTCACTGCGGGACGAAGAATTGTGTTTATGTCAAGCCAAGACCGGTACTGAGTTTTAATTGCTGTCACAGATGAAAATTTCTTTTCGCAGAAATATGTTTGTTTTTTTTTCGGTGGTGGGGGTTCTAAATATTTAGCAAAAATAGATTTTGAGTACAAATGCTTATGAATTTGTATCTTGTGCGTAAGCCTATCCCACTATCACTCCGTTACTATGTCATGTTTGTAGAAAATTATACTAGTAAACCATCCAGTAACTAGTTATCAATAGTAATGGTAAGAAACTATTCAGTAACAATTATTGAACATTACTTTGCAAGTCATGTTAGTTTATACTATGATGTCATATTTGTGTCCTTGCGTACCCGTGTTTTATTTAAGATTACATAATGTCTTGGATATATATAACATCCATAATATGTTTTGGTACTCGTCATTTTTTAATCTGTAGCTTCATAAAAATTGAAAAAATGCCCCAATTTTTTTTGCGGACCATCAAAAATTGGTGACCACTATCCTAGCGCTCTATCCTTGGTTTTAATTTGTTCTTAATTTTTATCAATGACCTTCCTGATGACATCAGTTCACAACTTGATATTTTTTGCTAATGACACAACCATTTACACGTGTTTCGAGAGTAAGTCTGATCAGTTCAATCAGGTTTAAATTGGCACATGATTTGAAGAATGATATACGGTCTGTTGTTAATGGTGAGTATGTTAATGAATCCGAGACAAAACCTTTCTCTATTAATCACCTAAAAGACCTCTTTCTGCCTCCTATCTGTTTGGCTGATACTAACCTCCAAGAAAAGTGACTCGTTGCACCTGCTCGGCTGATATGAAATGGAAATATTGTCTTGAATCCATTGTCTGCAGCTAAGGAACTTGGTCCACTCTGTTAGGTTATACTATGGCTGGATGATGTCATATTTGTGTACTTGTGTATTTCGAGATTACATAAGGTCTTGGACATATATACCATCCGTAATACGTTTTGTTACTCGTCATTTTTGAATCTGAAGCTTCATAAAAACTGAAATTTTTCTGCAGACCATCAAAAATTTTGCACGGACCATGGACGACCGGTCGGCGTCCACTGGTATAGTGTATGTTGAATTTTTTTTATGTATCTTCCCAGATTTTTCAACCTCTACAGCATCGCGATCCTAAGAAGACTTGAAACTCTGCTAGGATTTATTATCAGTGTCCGTGATTATAATAGTTAATGATAGTTAACTCGTAAATAAGACTACGGGAACTCCAAGATAACAGAAAGCGAGAAAAAAGAAATTGAGAAAAAAAGGGCTAACTGTAAATGGCAAGAGGACAGAAAGTATGGTCATCAGTAAAAGAAAATGCCCAAGATGCGATCTATGAATTGGATCGGGAAAATGTTTTAGCAGAAGATGAAAAATGCGACACCGGGGTCCGAAGTAACATTGGACTCGCGGAAGAAGCATTCTAAAAGCTAAGCAAGGTGCTGAGAAACGAAAAAAATCGTTAGACTCAAAGAAAAGAGTGCTGAATTGCTATGTGATGTCAACCATCTTATATATGGCAGTGAATATTGAATAATCTTCCCACGGATTAGAAGAAGACAGGAGATAGCAGAAACGTGGTTCTAATGAATGATAGTGAGTTTTCCATGTACGGAGCGAGATAGCAACAAGGAAGTCTTTAAAAAAATAGCAACAGAAACAACACTTATACTCAGAATCAGGAAAAGACAGCTGAAATTTCATGGACACATAACGAGGAAAGAGGGCTTGGAAGACTTAACTCTCATGAGGCATATCGAAAGCAAAAAGAAATATAATGCAAGATAGCGAGCCACGTAACTGACGAGTTTGTGCCAACGGAAGGCAGAATTTGAGGCGTCAACCTTGGTGAGAAAACCCACCAAAGGCAATAAGTAGCAGGAAGTTGTGGAAATCTGTGAGTTTCTATGTCCTGAATGGATTGGGTATATAGAAGAAAAAAATTAAATCAAACCGTTCTCTTTTAAACGTTAAACAGTCTTTCAGGCTAAATATTGAAATTTAATTTTCTTGGGAGATTTGGAAATTGTTTTCTAAAATATCTATTGCTGGTAATTTTTTTATTATTATTAAGTTCAATTGTTGGAATTTTTGCTTATGAAAATGTATTACTGATATTTTTACATTGTTTGGTTTGGTTTGTTTTACGGCATATCAACCTCAATGGTTTATTTAATGCGGGCAAGATTTTTATTGCTGGTAATATTTTTATTCTATCTATCTATCTATCTATCTATCTATCTATCTATCTATCTCAGTCTCTTCATATCTATCTATCTATCTATCTATCTATCTATCTATCTATCTATCTATCTCAGTATATATTGGTTTGGTTTGTTTTACGGCATATCAACCTCAATGATTTATTTAATGCGGGCAAGATTTTTATTGCTGGTAATATTTTTTTAGAAATGCATTGCTCATAATATTTTTGTTTTTTAACAAAAATGGATTGCTGGTAATATTTTTTTTCTTCAAAAATTTATTGCTGGTAATATCATTTACAAAAACTTATTGCTGGTATTAAAACCTATTTTTACACTTTCATAGGGCTTTAGCCCCAGTTCGGGGGTTAACTATTTGCTCATAGCTGAGACCCTAACAGGTGCTACCTCCCCGGGTCAGGGTGGACCTGGGAATACCAGCAATTAAGAGGTGTTTCTACGCTTCTCAAAACCTCCTGGTCAGAGGCCTTGCTGCCGGGTGTAGTTTATCGTCTTACCCAGAACGATTGGTATTTTTACTATAAAAATGTATATATATACTTTCATACTGTTTTGACTTCAGTTTGGGGTTCACTATTTGGCCATAGCTCGGACCCTAACAGGTGCTACCACCCTGGGTCAGCAATTAAGTGAAAGTTCTATGCTCTTCAAAACCTCCTGATCAGACGCCTTGCTGCCGGATGTAGTTTGTCGTCATACCCAGGACGGGGACTGTGTATAAGCGGATGGACTCTCATTACATAGCGCTGCATCTATTGGTCCGCTTTTATTAACTTTATATCTCATTAATTTCTTTCAAAAGCATAAAAGTCTAATGAAGTAGTTAAAAGTAACTGAAATCAGAATTCGTATCCCTAAATGCCCCAGACTAATAAATTTAATCTTGACATTAAGACTAAAATTGTTGACAAGTATACGCTTATAAGTAGTGTTTCTTAACCTTTCAAAGCTTCTTTATGGCATTATGGGATTGATGTCGCCCCTTATATTAAAATTAAGCTAATAAATAAAGCAGTGTTCATACAACTGATTAAATATCACGTGTTGCATTATAGCAGCATCAGTTACCGGAAGTAAGCAGCATCAGTTACCGGAAGTAAGCAGTGACGGAAACTACGTAACAACGGTCACTGGCTCGGACCTGAGAAACCTCCAGAATTTAGCTTGTAGGTTTTTACAACACACGTATCTTAACTGCAGTAAATTGTATAAAATACATCCGATATATATATATATATATATATATATATATATATATATATATATATATATATATATATATATATATATATATATGGATGAATGAATGTTTTCTCCCGTCCAGAACGACGGATGTGGGTTCAGGAAATTCAACGTTTTATTGAACAACTTACACAAATGAATTGCTTAAATTGGTCAATTGCCTGTGCCCTGCGTGCACAAACTATTCACCTTATCACCATATCCCCTACTGGTGCGCTATGTGTCACGTGACAGATGATGCTACACTCGCAAGCCTTTTGGATAGAAATTTTCCGTCTACCATTACATTCTATAAAAGCTCATCCACCCTTTGCGAACCCTCTCCAATGTTGGTTAGGATTCAGAGTTTTTCTTCCCCTAGACTAGTTGCCAACCAAGGCAATGGGGTCCAGTCTAGTTTGTCCCTTTACCTATAGCTGCTTGGTGGGAGGAGGTAAGCGATGGAATAATATAATTCTTTCCATCTATCTCAGTCTGTTCATCTATCTATCTATCTATCTATCTATCTATCTATCTATCTATCTATCTATCTATCTCAGTCTGTACATCTATCTATCTATCTATCTATCTATCTATCTATCTATCTATCTATCTATCTATCTATCTATCTATCTATCTTTGTTGTTCGCATAGAAAATAAACTGTAATAAACTGAGTCCAAAACACTATGAAAGCGTAAATATAGGTTTTAATACAAGCAATACATTTTATTACATTTTCAATATCAGCAATACATTAAAAAAATAGCAGCAATATATTTTTGAATAAAAAATTGCCAGCAATACATTAAAAAAACCGGCAATAAATTTTTGAAAAAGAAATAATAATATTTTTATTGTCAGTATTAAATAATCTATTGAAGTTGATATGCCGTAAAAAAAAACGAAAACAAACTGAACCAAACCAATCTAAATCAAAAGATCATTGATGCCATTGTCGCCATTGATGAGGCTATGCTACTGCGAACATGGCAAGAAATCGAGTAACGTCTTGATGTGCTTCGTGCAACTAATGGCGCCCATATAGAGTATTAAATTAGTTAAAAAAAACTTCAATATATATTCCTTATCTTGTAACAATTTCTACATAGTTTTCTGTTCATTTGCTTTTGTAATAATTTGTTTTGGGGACACGCAGTATATATATATATATATCTATCTATAAAAGACAGGATGTGTGTGCGTGTGTAACGAATGCACGGCCGCAATTTTCGACGGATTTGCACCAAAATTTACATGCATATTCTCCAAGTTAGCGGGAAGGCCAAGACCGACATTGCATTTCACAACTCCAATCGATAGTGGAAATAATCACTTTTTTCCTGCTTCTACGGCAGTTTTCATGTAGTTTGCGGCCATTTTGTACTGGCCAGATTGAGAGCCAATAGCTGGCTGCCACGAAAAGGCAGGAAGATTCTACTGGCAAGCGTGAAAGCCAACAGCTGACTGATACGAATGTTAACTAGCATGCAAAAAAATCGATAGCTGCATTCGTCACAAGTGGCAAAAATTTAAATCTTCATGGCACTTTACTCCAATTGGTTCATTCACTTGCTTAAACTCAACGTTGATTCTGATTCCGCAGAACTGGGTTGGGTGTGAAAAAGTATTTGTTGTTAAAATTTTTTTTCATTCGGTTTTTCCAGTTACGAGTCCTTCTTTAAAGCTGATCGTTTTGTGTTCATTTTGTTTAGTTCTTTTTTCGTAACAGATTTAATGTTTAGTATAGAGCTTCGAAAAAATTCGCAGTGTGAGACAAGAAGTAAGGCATGTAGCAACATCAGCACGGCAAAGGGCACTCCTTTAAAGGCAAGGAAGGGCAAAAAATATTTTAAGTCGTGATAGCAGTTGCTGTATGAGTCTTACGATTTTTAATCAAGCACGGACAACGCCTGGCCATGCTGCTATATATATATATATATATATATATATATATATATATATATATATATATATATATATATATATACTTGCGTATCATGCGACTTTTGAAGACCTAATCTTGAAGCTAATTTTAAGGGGATCGAATCGTACACCAAATATAACATTAACGTATGTATTACTGTTGACCAAACTATATATCCATTTACTGTAGTAAAAAATTACAGCTGTATTTAAAATAAACATGAACATGAACATGAATAAATAAACATTTTACTAAACTATATCTAATAATAATGCATGTAATATTCAAATATTAGTACCGTATTATGAAATACAAACATAGGGAATATGAATCCTTTTTTTATTGCTTACGTTTATAAGATGTTTAGCTGTTGCTCGTTCGGTTGTTTATGGCTGTACGCGTTTACGCAACGAGTATAGCGTTACTAACGATATTTTTATCATTCTCTTTTACTTTTTTAACTAATTTAACTAGAGGATGAAATAAAGAGAGAGAGAGAGAGAGAAGAAAAGAGGTTAGTCTATTGTAATTTGGTTTCTCAAAGAAAAGGAACTCGCATGATACATGAGATATGTAATAAAATCATTTTTATAAGTGAAAAAATATTTACGAATAGATACGGTATAAAAATTTTCTCATAGTTATCCTATAGAATAAGACAATATTTATAAATGTAAAGGACAATAGTAACAATTGTAATGGTAGCCAACGCGTTTCGTCCAATGTGGACTTTTTCAAGGCAAAAACGAATTTATCAAAAGTAACTAATTATAACAAAACAAGATGTCCTTAGCAACTGGAATAATTTAGAGAATGCTATTTTCATACTGTTAACTGAAAATTACGTTAATTACTGTCACGTGTGGATATATTGTTTTATTCCAGTTCCTAAGGACATCTTGTTTTGTTATTATTAGTTACTGTGTTTAATAAATTCATTTCCTTTTGAGTCTGTCTCTATTTCTGAGATGAGGTATTATGTACATTATTTACATTATTCGGACTATTGTCCTCATCTTTGTCGCCATATTTATCACAACGTTTCGGCCGTTGTACGCTCCGGCCTTCTTCAGGTGGTGGGAATTTCGAAAAGAACCCTTTAGTTCGCTCACTGGGGTAGACTGTTCAGGCCTGACGATTGCATATAGCATGAAACAGACTGTCGCCTCTAAGTGTTGACTTCTATGTTCACTTTTATATATATATATATATATATATATATATATATATATATATATATATATTCCAGGATCATTTTCCAACATATTCACTATGATTTTCACCCTCTAACCTAATTTTCTGTCTTGGAATAACAAGGTGCTTCACAGGTTTCACGTACGATTTCATTTTCAAGTCTTTTTTCACTGATCTTTGAACTCTCTTACCTGGATCTCCTCTGCCACGTGACAAATGTCTTATCGATTGATTTGGATCATTTCTAATTGATCTCTTTAGCACTCCCTTTTTTAAAACTTATTCGCCGTTCTCTTGATAGTTCTTGAATATACTTTGCAGATAGAACGCAGAGTATGAATGTTGGTACCATTTCCGAACACCTGAATGATTTTTTTCCTCCCACCAGTTGGGAAGACACTGGTTCTGACACAAAACGAGTTTTTACACGTTCTCTTTCTAGCTGAATAACTCAAAGGGTTTATCAGAGATTTTTATGACAAATGGTGTCAAGATGGCTAAATGTCTTATCTGAAAGCCTGGATAAAAGAAACTCAATTAGTTTAGTCACTTTTTAGATATTAAACATTTTGCTATTACACCCGATATATATATATATATATATATATATATATATATATATATATATATATATATATATATATATGTATGTATGCGTGTCTGTGTACAATCTCTCCCTCTCTCTCACAGACACAAACATATATATGTCTATATAATCTCTTTTAGTTACAGACTTTATAAATTGGTCACAGATAGCTGGCTAATAATTTATTTATTCCTATCTGTTAGAAGTTGCTTTTCTTCTAACACACTTCAGGAGATATCGTCAGTATGCAGAAACAAATGTAATGCGAGGGAAAACAAAAAGAGGGGGATATAGGGGTAAAGTTCGCCAAAGCTGGGAAATATCCATTTCGAATAAATCCTGGAAGGGAAAAGGACGGGCTAGTTTAATTTATTCACCCCTTCAGGTTTATTATCAAGAAAATAACCTTGAATAACTCTTTAAGAAGAGTTGAAATTAATACATACAAGATTTCACTGCTCTAGCATAATTACTTCATAGTCAGCCTATGAACATTTCAGCCTTCTCACTTACCTGCAAAGAAACAATGTCGTTATTAAGAAGAAGAGTTAAAATTAATACATGCAAGATTTCACTACTCTTGAATTATTCCTTCATAGTCAGCCTATGAATGTTTCAGCCTTCTCTTGTACCTGGAAAGAAACGATGCAGTTATGAATAAGAAGATTTGAAATTATTACATGCAAGATTTCAAGGCTCTAGCATCATTCCTTTATAGTCAGCCTATGAACTTTTCAGCCTTCTCCCGTACCGTGAAAGAAACAATGCAGTTATTAAACAAAAGAGTTCGAGCATCATTCCTTTATAGTCAGCCTATGAACTTTTCAGCCTTCTCCCGTACCGGGAAAGAAACAATGCAGTTATTAAACAAAAGAGTTCGAGCATCATTCCTTTATAGTCAGCCTATGAATTTTTCAGCCTTCTCTCGTACCGGGAAAGAAACAATGCAATTATTAAGAAGTGTTGAAATTAATATATGCAAGATGCCACTGTTCGAGCAACATTCCTTCATAGTCAGCCTATGAAGTTTTCAGCCCGCTCTCGTATTATAAAACAATGACAGGTGATGGAAAAATTATAATGAAAAGATTGACTTACTCCAGTAAATTCAACTGAGTATGGCTTGCTCGCCTTTAAAATCAGTATTTGTATTTCTAGCTTTTGATCTGAATTCGACCACCGGCTTTAAAAAGGACAAAATTAACATTCGCATTTACAAGACTGGATATCCTCATTGGGGCTCTCTACTGAACGAGACGATAGGTAGGAAAATGGCATTAAAGGCTGTAACAAAAACAGAAACACTGGCGAATATGCACAACGCACTTGGTTGCACTTTGCTCGATGTTAGTTAAAAGATTGTCTAAGACAGAGCAAATGTTGGACACACAGATGAAGCAGAGACACGAAACACGGAAATGTGATTGTACAGACGGATATTAAGAATACCACGGTTTGAACATATTATTAATGAAGAAGTTTTAAGGAAAATGGAAACAAAAAGGACTTTTATATTTAAAATCAGAAAGAGATGGTTGAAATTGAACATATAATGAGGAAAGAGGGCCAGGTGAATCTGAAACTCACATGACAAATTCAAGGCAAGAGGGTCTCATAGATAGAATCACAAAAAGACACTTTCTTGGACATTTAATGAGGAAAGAGGGCTAGGGGAACTTAACACTCACATTAAATACTATCGGTAAGAGGAATAGAGGAAAGCAGCGAGTAACCTGCCAAACGGGCTTGTGTAAATGGATGACCGAAGAGGGGGATGTAGTAAAGACAAATATTACTAACAGTTACAACAAATTGGAAGTTGTGAAGAGTCACGATCGTCAACGTCTTGAAGTGACATGACACAAAGAAGAAGAAGAAGAAGAAGAAGAAGAAGAAGAAGAAGAAGAAGAAGAAAGCAGACTGATTCATATAATTCCCGTCTTAGGTAAAATGAAAAAAGTTTCTTTTTTAATACCTAACCGAATTCTTTCTCATCGTGTGACATAAAATATTCACACAGCCGCGCCGAAGGAAGGAACGGATACCATTTAAAGTTATTAAGTACATATTTTTCATTTGATATAAATCAAATACCTAGCATTTTCAATTTGCATCACAGTGGATGGCATATCAAATTCAAGTCATTAAAGAAAGATGGTAAAAAGAAGGAAACGAGGAAAGGAAAATAACGGAAGCAAGAAGAAGAAGAAGAAGAAGAAGAAGGAAGAGGAGGAAATATTTAAAGAGGAAATTAGTGTCCTTCTCGGATAGAGGCGATCATGGCTCCCCACATATACTTCTTTTTTATTATCATAAATTCTTGAGGAAGATACTGGAGTAGTTCCCCTTTGTAATCTCCTCAGCTTGAAATTCACAGTTGACCTTCTAGACCGGTTGCTACCGAATGTTACCGTTAAGTGCGATAAAAGAAACTATTCAATGGAACTGAATTTAGCTAGTTCAGCAGTAAAGGTGCTGAGACCTAATTGCCAATCTAGTTAAATTCATGCAGTCGTGCAGTAATTGCTTAAATTCATGCAGTCAAGACACTAATGAGAACAGCTCATCAGAACAATTGCCATAAAAATATTCTATCCTGCTATTTGCACCATGTCTAGAATGGTGGAAAGAAGAGGTACTCATGCCTTTTCTAAAGGCATTAGTGCAAAAGGGAACGCACTTGATTAGGTCGGAATTTGAACTCGGTTCGTCGATGTCATTTTTTGCGTCGATAACAGTTATATACATACATACATACATACATACTTACATAAATATATATATATATATATATATATATATATATATATATATATATATATATATATATATATATATATATATATATATATATAGAAAAATGTTTTCCTTCTTTTATATGTCGTGTCCCTTCCCGATGTAGGTGATCATGAACATAGAAGCCACATCACTTGAGGGCGTTCAACAGCAGCAACATTTAAAATTGAAGATAAAATAATGACATAATGAAGATTTCGACATTCCACACAACTACAAGCAAAAGGTTAGGAAGGAAACCTCCATCAACACTGGAAAGAGCGATAACATTTACTGCACATAAGAAAAATTTTTTTAATAAAAATATTTTTTAAAATTCAACGGATGGTAGCACTGGATGCTCGGTCAATGAATGTCAAATATTTACTTATAGGGAAATGGTTAATATTATTATTACCTTAATGTCCACCATACAATACGTTATTAATTATAAAATATAAAATCCGGTATTAATTATGGGTTTCTAAAGAAATCGGTATTTTTTTTAATCATTTCACCCCCAGTAAGGCGACAATGCCACTCGGACGCAGGAGTGAAAGAGAATGATAAGACTTTAGAAGAAGTGAAAAGACAATAAAAGAACAGCATTCAGTAGGGCAGAAAATGGTGATTGAAGTTAATTTAATTTAACATTTTTGAAGATTTTATGTGGCAGATGAGCAAGAAATCGGAAAGCAGTTTCACAGGCGAGAAGTGCGATAAAAGAAACTATTATAATGGAAATGCATCTAGCTAGTTCAACAGAATTAGTTGCCAGTCTAGTAGCACGGTTAAATTCATGCAGTGGAGGCATCAAGGAGAAAAGCTCATCAGAACAATTGACATAAAAATATTTGTATAAAAGAGAGAGGGAAGCCACGTCACGTCAGTGAGAAAGTGACTGGAGTCGAGATGCCAGGAAAGGATCAATTAAATTACCGACCGTTCTTTGAACTTTGTCAAGAATCTCGAGATATATCCTAAGAGCAGCAGACTAGATATGGCGGCAGTATTCAATGCATGAACGAATGGCAGATTTATAGATTTGCAAGAAAGATTCTGACAAGAAGAATTCTCTGGCACGACAGATTCTGTGAGGAGATTGTTTATCATTCACTGCCATATAGGAGGACTGGTATTGAACCAACATTCCGAGCAGCAGACTTAGTAGTTAATTCGATATAATCACTCTACTTCATGCCAGTGGAAAAGTGAGCCCAAGAAGGTCCGAAGTGTTACTGAAATTGAGATGCCAAGTCAAGATTGATTCCATTACAGACCATTTTTTGAATTGTGTCAAGAATCTCGAGATATACCGTAACCAGACCATTCTTGTTAGTTGCATTCACTTGCCTGCAATTACTCTTGAGAAAGGCATGAATACACCTCTTCTCCTCCCAGCCATAGGTTCAATCACAGGACAGACTAGGTCCTGTAGCCTTGGTTGGCAACCAGGCAGAAAGAAATGGTAACTTTGCATGGCCTAGCCAGTCATGAATTAAAAGAGACATGATCGCCCAAGTATGTGTCACGTATGGCACTTAACTGACTGAGGTGTCAGGGAAGCAAGAAATCAAAATAAAGTTCTACGGGCGAAAAAATACGAGAAAGAAACTACAAGAATATAACTGGTATTTGGATCTTGCTAGCTTAATTAAAAGTGATGAGACCTAATTGCAAATCAGGTTAAATTCATGCAATCATACAGTAAATGATTAAATTCATACAGTCAAGACACTCATGAGAAAAGCTCACCAGAACAATTTTCATAAAAATATTTGTAGAAAAGACAGATTGAAACCAAATCACTTCGGTGAGAAAGTGACTGAAGTTGAGATGCCAGGAAAGGATCGATTAGATTACACATCCTTCTTTGAATAGTGTCAAGAATCTCGAGGTAAATCGTAAGAGCAGCAGACCAGATATGGCGGCAGTATTCAATGAACAGACGAATGTTAGATTCATAAATGTGCAAATGGATTACGTTCCAAAAATATCCGTTTTATCTTAATAAAAACCCACTGTTGGTTAGTATATCTGTCATTAATTATAGGTTCATGGCTATAACCTATTAATGTGCACGGTGGGATTAACAGTGTAAAATATCATCCAGAAAGCTCTCACGTTTAGTTCATGGTATTCTCATTTACAGTTTATCCCTGTGCTTCCCAAAAAGTGTGGCGCGCATCATATGTGCGGCCGAATAGGATAGGAAGTGAGGCGGAATGATTGAAAGACAATCAAAGAATTAGAAACAGTTTTAAAAAAATCACATGTCAAAAAAAAATATTTCAAAATAAATATTTCAAAATTTAAAATATTGTCATGGATTACTTGTAATTGCATCCATGAGTCCCAGTATAAAGGGTTATAATTACTGACTGATATTATCATTAGGATATTTTACATTATATCAACTAAGAATATAGTAACTAGGATCCGCAAATTGGAGGAGAGAGTTATTAATAATAATGTTCTGATTTCCAATCGGCGGTTATCTTCCTTTAATCCTCTCTCTGGACCTTCTTTGCCGTAGAATGCGATTCAAAAAAAAAAAAATAAATAAATAAATAAATAAATAAAAATTGGAAACCAATGGTCTATCGAATCTGTTAGGAGACTGTTCAACATTGACGGCCATTTTGGACGATAGAGATAACACAGTATTTCGGTACTCGTTTCTCTTATTAGCGTGAAGAAAAAACAAATTATCGGCTAGGATAAAACAATGAACAAACAGAAAAGGCACAATAGAGATTAGGGAGGAGGAGTGGGCGGTGGGAAAGGAAGAGGTGATGCACAAAGAAGGAGGTAAGGAAAGTCAGAAGGCAGCGGTTAAAAAGCAACAATGAAAATAAGAGAAAATAACTTATACATTGTTTACACAAGCACAAAAATGATTACAAGAATGAAATAGAAAAAAAATCGTCACATATTTCTCTAAACACTGTATAGCAATTTTACTTTTCGTTTTCTTTAGTATCAAATGATGGGAATTAATTGGTAATTTATTCAATTTAATTGCATACGTGAGGGGAAGACAGCGTCGGCCCTTTGATATGAAATCAGCACATACTTTATTTTCATATCTAGTCATCCAGCTTATTTTCTACTTTTTTTTTTCAGTATTTCTTGTTACTTTTTTTCTTTCTTCGTAATTCTTTCGTTGTGTTTTTCTTTCTCTTTAGTCTTTTTCCTTCTTTCTTGTCATTCGCTTTTTTTCTTTTCAGTCTCGTTCTTTCTTTTTTAGTATGTTTTTATTTTATTTTTCGTTGCTCTTTTCTTGTGGATTTATTTCTTTTCAGTCTCTTTATTTCTTTCTTTCTTTCTTTCTTCAAAGTGTGTATTTTTCTTTTCCTTACGTTGTTTTGTCTTGTGTATTTATTTTTTCTCAGACTCTTTTTTCTTCTTTCTTTCTTTCTTTCTTTCTTTGAAGTGTGTATTTTTCCTTTATGTTGTTTTTTCTTGTGTATTTGTTTCTTTTCAGTCTCTTTCTTTCTTCGAAGTGCGTATTTTTCTTTCCTTTACGTTGTTTTGTCCTGTGTATTTATTTTTTCTCAGACTCTTTCTTTCTTTCTTTCTTTCTTTCTTTCTTTCTTCCTTTCTTTCTTCGAAGTGTGTATTTTTCCTTTATGTTGTTTTTTCTTGAGTATTTATTTCTTTTTAGTCTCTTTCTTTCTTTCTTTCTTTCTTTTCAATATTATTCCTTGCACTTTCATTTTTGTCAGTTTTTCATTCATTAATTCATTCTTTTTTCATTCTTTCTTACTTATTCGTGGCTTTTTCTTTGTTGTCTTTCTTTCTTTCTTTTCGACATTTCCGTCTTTCTTCACACTTTTTCATGCGTTCTTTTTTTTACCACTTTTTTACCTTCATCCCCTGATCATTTCTTTCAGTGTCTTTCTTTCTTTCTTTCTTTCTTTCTTTCTTTCTTTCTTATCCCTCTTAGTATTATTTATTTCTTTTTCTTTCCTTTTTTTTTGTATTCCTTTGTGCCTTCTTTTTTTTTTTTTGGTCTTCCTTTTTTTTCATACATTCATTCATTCACGACAGCAGAGCTGACAAATTTTATCGTAGTCCAAGTTGACTAAATTTGGCATCCGGGATTAAGTAAATTTATAATTTCCACAGAATTTGACATGTTATTTGGAAAAAATTTTGATTTTTGTACCAAATATGAAAGTCGTTTTGTTGATGGTAATTTTGTCAACTTACAAAATAAACTGGCAGAACACTTATTTGAACCGGACCGGTTGAAGTAAAAGTTCTGTGTGGATTTTTTTTTTCATATATAAGTTGAATAAACGTGTCAAAATATAATCATGTTGCTGAAAATAGAATAAGCGTGCCGTACCAAATAAATCTTTCCAGCATTTATATTTGCTGCGCAAAAGTGCATTCTTCATTATTCAGCTTAGTCAAATCAGAGTCAACTTTTTATTATTTCACCCAAGCAAGGCAATAAAGCCCCTAAGATTCAGAGTGTTACTGAGTGTAAAAGAATAAGAGAAAAAGAAAAACATTATTAACGAGCGAGAACAATAAACAAACATGAATTAAGAAAACAGAAGATAACGATAGACATTACATTTAAATCTTTGAAGATCAAAATTGACAGGAAAGCAATAAACCAGAAGAGAATTCCACAAGTGAAAAGTGCGAGAAAAGAAACTGTTAGCATAGAATTTACGGTTCCTTCTAGCCACTTCAACTGTAAAATGAGACCTTGCCTTCAATCTAGTATTGTGCTTAACTTTATAGTGTCTACGTCGCATAGGTTCATCAGAACAATTACCAGGTAAAAGGAAACTACATTACGGCGGTGGTAAAATGACTGAAGTCAAGATACCAGGTGAGGACAAATGACATTGCAGATCATTCTCTGGATTTTATCAAGGATCTATAAATATATAGCAGAAGCACCAGACAATATGTGGCAGCAATATTCTAAGCATGGACGAATGCTAGACTTATAGATATGTAAGATAGATTCGAGCGAGAAAAACTGTGTAGCCCGACACAGTGAACCAATTTCTTAGCAGCAGACTTAGCAATTACACTGTGTCCAATGGATCACCGTTTTTACCCAATCAGGTATATTTTCGTAATCCATCCGAGCTAATTTAATGCATTCAATTTTTTATATCATCGATGGTTGCATCTGGGCCCGTACAGATTTATTTTTGTGCCATTCATTCTTTTCTAAAACTCGAAAAATTATAATAGAAATCAAGAAAGATGGTTTTAGACATTATCCCATTCTGTTCATATAAAATTCATTTCCGTGGTTCAAAGATTTTTTATCTAGTCGAAAGGTCTCGGTTCTTTCTTTGTCCAATTTAGAAAGGTCTACGAATTTAGTCAATTGTATGTTTGTTAAGCTTATAAAGGAGGTTCCAATAACTTGGACCGATTTGTCTTTACAAAAGACAGATCAAACCAAAAATGAATTACTACTGTCATATCTTCGTTGAATCTCATGACACTTTCTATCTGTATTATAATAGAGTTTTTGAGATGAGTTTTATCTCTTTAGTTCCAGCCGTTCATACAGCTATGGTACGCTATTTTCTGACTCGTTATTGTTCCTCCTGAGTTGCTCATCATTTTTAACTGGCACCCGACCGATAGATTAATACCTTTCCCAAATGTTAATACATAAGTGAATATAATGAACTCAAGTGAAAGTCGAACTCGGCTCTCCGATTCCTCAATCTGGGCTGCTAGTCATTATTACACTGTGACTCCATAATTAAGCTTATCGTCCATAGATAAATGGATTCCTTGTGAAAAGTTACTTGTCAACAAACATATTTTTGGGTTCCTGTTATCTTTTATTTCGTTTCTTATTCTCGCTCCAACATTAACCCCCAAACGTGTTAGTTTATTTCCAAGTATGGCAGAGGTTTTATACATAGAAATTAATGGTAAGCTTATTGTGAGTAGCAGAACCATGGTCTTTGTTAAGACGTCTCTCTAGGTGAAGAAGGAAAATTCTGTTATAATACCTTCAATTTCGTTTGTATCCAATGATATAAACTAGCCCCTCTTTAATGTCAAATATATTTGAAGTTAAAAGATAAGGATTGACTCTGTGTAAAACTTTTCCTCATTTAAAATAATCTTCACGCACGATGATTGCTGGATATATTTTAACATCTTACGAAAACTTACAGGCCAATGAAGAATTAGAAATTAATAATAAGAAAGTCCGCTCCGAGAGATGTCCCAGTGTGCCGCAGTCTGAGTCCTGCCTTTTTCTGCTACAGCAAGAAAGCTTAAACGATTGGATGCTAGTTTCTGGAATATCCAGATATTATTAGACTCTGAAACCAGTACAACACGATCTGGACGAAGATCAGCGCTTGCAGCAAAAGAGCTGAAGCGATACAATGTAAATGCGATAGCCTTGTCTAAAATGAGAGTCTCTGGAGAGGATCACTTCACCAATGACGGCAAATGACGCCCAATGATGCCACATCTGCGCAAAGAATATATGACCCTAGCGGGATTAAAAAGCCACATCTGCACTAACCATTAGACGATTTTAGAAACGTGGTATTGCATTTAATTTGAAAGTTGGGGCTTCACATAATAAAAAATGATACAAAATACTTTTTCCCAAACTCTTTTGTGAAGAAACGAGTTTAAAGATTAAGTTTAGGTTCACAATTAGAGCGTTGTAATTTCATTTCGTTGATCAGTGAGCCTTAGAGCACAACCATATAAAATTTATAATTTAAATATATGCATTTAGTTGGTTTGAGACTAAAAAGCATAATTCATTCCATAATCATCAACTGTATACCTTAAACTTGAACAGAGAATAAAGGAACAGCAAATCTAAATACAGAATACTGAATTTAAAAAAAAAGTACGGCGGAATACATTCGCCTTGTTTCCAGAAAATATTCTTTTTTCAATGTGGAAGTCAGATGAGTTGGTGGTGAGGGTAGAGGCTATAAAAATGTTGCCCATTATATATATATATATATATATATATATATAGAAAGAACAGTAAGATATATAATCCGGTGTTCTTATTGATATTTTTTATTTTTATTTTTACAAAACAGTGCTCAATGCAAATTTACAGAGCATAAATATTATAAATTAACTGATTTAAAATATGATTTCTTCTCTACACAGTAATAAGCATGTTTCAAAAACCGAAGCTAAAAATTTCCAATTTAATTATATAATTAAATTAAAAACATTAGTTCTGTTTCATCTTCAAGCGAATTTTGGAATAACTTATTTTTAAATTTATTCAAGTTTTAAACGCACATATAAATTCATAATTTCCTGTTTCCATGGATACAGAGAAATCCAATCATTTAGACAGAGGCGGTAACGTGTTCATTTTTATTAAGATTATTGTATCAATTTTATTAACTATTGCTGTTTCAATTGTAACTCATAATATAATATATCAACTTGATTTACTACAGGCAAATAACTGAACGTTCTACCCCAGTGGACTAAATAAAGGGTTCGATTCGAAATTCCAATCTCTAACCTGAAGAAAGCTGAAGCGTGCAATGATCGAAACGTCGTGAGTATGAAAATAAAGATAAGGACAACAGTCTGAATAATGTAAATAGTGTAAAGATATCGCGATTGTTTTGTAATTTCATCCTTTCTGAGTGCCCCGCTAATAATGGTTTTGTGTCTGACATTTAAAGTAAGGTTACATGAGGTGATATAAGAAAATTCTCGTACGATATCTTTAATACATACTATTACGCCAGTAAATTATATATTTCACATATTACTTAAATTTAGATAGACTCCACTTAAAAATAGTTCCCTTGGAAACGTACACACTGTTTTGGATCAAGTCTCAAGAACAGACAAAAAAAAACGCTTCTCAGTAAGTATATGCATATTCTTAATCTGGCAAACTCGTTAAGTGATTCCAATCATATGTGCTGAGGCTTTATCAGAGGCGATCATTATGGAAAAGTTCACGAAGTTCCTTTCCTTTTTCTGGCACTTTACGGCCACATCACGTTGAAACACCGTACGATCACCGAAGTCAAGCAACGTCTAGTCCTGTCACTAGCTGGAAGGGTGACCGTTTGAGAATATCAAATGCTGTAAGCTTGGATATGGGTTACGTGTAATGTGTAATGGCTCGAACTTTTTAATCGGAGAGTCGAGTTCTAATTCCAATTGGGTTCGTTATATTGACCTACGCGCAAGTAGCTTTGGGCAAAATATTTTTCTTTCTCCAGCTATGGGTTAATTAGTAAGAATTGTGTCACTAAAACCGTTATAAAAATAAAATAAACCTGCGTTGAAAATATAGAATTAGGCATTAAATAACCCATATAGGTGTTGGTATATCGTGATTATTCACCCTGAGCGCTCATTTTTTTAAAAATGATACTGACGAGTTCAGAAACGTGCATGCCAATCAAAAACCTGTATTTGAGACAGAGTTCTCAAAGAAACCTTGAGGAACATTTCGAGTGTTTTAATTTTGCCGAGCTTCCGGTAAAATTTGACCAGGCAATATTACTCGAACTTTTGAGCCAGGCAATATTACTCGAATTTTTGAGCCAGGCAAATCTTTCTGTTCTGTCTGTCTTTCCTTTGTTCTCTATCTCTTTATTTTTCTCAGCCGCTGTCTTTCTGTCAATCTCTGCCTCTTTCTGTTTTTCTGCCTTTCTGTTTGTCTCTGTATTTCTGTCTCTCTGTCTTTCTGTCTGCATTTCTATCTTTCTATCGGTCTCTGTCTTTCTCTCTGTCTTTTCTTTCTTTCTATCTTTTTTTTCTTTCTTTCTTACAGAACGACTGCTTGCAGTCATTCTGTCACTCTGCCACTATCCTTCTGTCTTTCTGTCCCACTCTGTCTTTCTAGCTGACTGAATTTCTATCTCTATCAATTTTGTCTTTATGCTTTTCTGTCTGATTCTGCCATTCTTTTCTGTCAGTTTTTCTCTGTCTGTCTCGAACTTTCTCTCTATCTCTGTCATTTTTTATGAATTTCTGTTTGTCTCTGAATTTCTCTGTCTTCTTTCTTTCTGTCTTTCTGTTTTTTCTCTGTCTTTCTGTCTTTCTCTGCTTGTCTTTCTGCCTTTCTCTGTCTCTCTCTATCTTTTTGTCTGCCTCTGTCTTTTGGTCTTACTGTCTGTCTTAGTCTTTCTTTCTGTCTTTCTATTTGTCTATTTCTGTCTTTCTATCCTTCTGTCTTACTGTTTCTCTCTGTCTTTCTCGCTGTCTGTGTCTTTGTCATTCTATCTTCCTGTATGTTTCTTAATTTGGAACTTTCTGTCTGTCTCTATCTGTCTGTCGCTGCCTATCTGTCTCTCTCTCTCAGTCTCTGCCTGTTTCTGTCATTCTGGGTGTTTCTGTCTTTCTATCTTCCTGTCTTTCTATCTCACTCTATCTTACTGTCTTTCTCTCCATCTCCGTCTGACTCTGTCTGACTCTGCTTTTCTGTTTTCTGTTTTTCTTTCTCTAAATCTGTCCTTCCGTCTGTCTCTCTGTATCTCTGTGACTTTAACTGTATTTCTCTCTTTCTGTCCCCCTTTCTCTCTCTCTCTCTCTCTCTTTTTCTAATTCTGTTTGTCTCTGTCTGTCTCATTCTTTCTGACTTTCTCTTTATCTATCTATCTATCTATCTATCTATCTATCTATCTATCTATCTCAGTCTGTTCGTATCTATCTATCTATCTATCTATCTATCTATCTATCTCAGTCTGTTCGTATCTATCTATCTATCTATTTATCTATCTATCTATCTATCTATCTATCTCAGTCTGTTCGTATCTATCTATCTATCTATCTATCTATCTATCTATCTCAGTCTGTTCGTATCTATCTATCTATCTATCTATCTATCTATCTATCTATCTCAGTCTGTTCGTATCTATCTATCTATCTATCTATCTATCTATCTATCTATCTCAGTCTGTTCGTATCTATCTATCTATCTATCTATCTATCTATCTATCTATCTATCTATCTCAAGCTGTTCCAATCTATCTATCTATCTATCTATCTATCTATCTATCTATCTATCTATCTATCTGCCTTTCTGTCTCCGTCTTTCTCTGTGTATTTGTCATTCTGTCTGTTTCTTTTTTCTATCATTCAGTCTGTCTCTGTCAAACTATTTTTCTGTCGGTCACTCCCTGCCTCTGTTTTTCTGTCTGTCTTTGAAGTTCCTTGTCTTTTTTCTTTCTGTCTTTCTGTTTTTCTCTGTCTATTTCTGTCTATTTCTGTCATTCTCCGTCTTTCTCCTTTACTTCCGGTCTCTGTTTTTCTCTCAGTCACTGTATGCTTCTCTCTTTCTGTCTATCACTCTTTCTATCTGCCTCTCACATTCTGTCAGTTTTTGTCTCTCTGTCTGTCTTTCTGTCAGTCTCTATCTGCCATTATCTTTCTGTCTTTCTATCTGTCTAGAGAAAATACTATATGAACATAAAATGGACTTAAACAACAGACTCAATGCATTAGTATGACACCAAAATCTTCATGGTCACAATTTGGAATTGGAAAAATGATATTTCATTGAAAAAATGAAGAAAATTAGAAATTTAAAGAAAAGTAAGATAATTAACTAAATTTACATGAGATTTGAGAATTATGAGAAGCCCTTAGGAGGGAAACAATACATCGGGGAAAATATCCCGGAATTGGGTGAAAAGGATATACAAACATAAGAGGGACTTAAATTTAAACAACAGACTCATTGCATTAATATGACATCAAAATCTTCATGATATCTTTTCTAAATATCTTCTCTTTCTGTTATACTGTGTGTGTCTCTCTCTGTCTCTATCTTTCTGTGTGTGTCTCTCTGTCTCTGTCTTTCTCCCTGTCTCTGTCTGCCTCTCTCTTTTTGTCTATCTCTGTATTTCGAATGGTTTTTGTCTTTCTAAAAGTCTCCCTCTGCCTCTGGCTTTTTGTCTGTCTCTGTCTTTTTGTGAGTCTCTCTCTGTCTGTCTCTGTCTTTCTGTCTGTCTCTGCCTTTCTCTGTCTGTCTCTTTCTTATTGTGGGTCTCTCTCTGTCTCTGCCTTTCTGTCTCTCTCTGTCTTTCTATCTGTCTCTATCTTTCTAGCTGTCTTTTCCTCTCTCTTTTTGTCTGTCTGTCTTTCTAACAGTCTCTCTCTGTCTCTGTCTTTCTGTCTGTCTCTGTTTTTCAGCCTGTCTCTATCTTTCTAGCTGTTTCTGTCTTCCTGACTGTCTCTGTTTTTTCTGTCTGTCTTTCTGTCTGTCTGTGTCTTTCTCCCTGTCTTTTTTGCCTGTCGCTTTTTTTCTAATTGCTTCTGCCTTTCTGTCTCTGTCTTTTTGTCTGTCTTTCTATCTGTCTCTGTCTTTCTATCTTTCAGTCTCTCTGCTTGTCTCTGTCTTGGTATCCGATTGACACTCATGTCTGAGTATTTATCGTTCTACCCACGAGGACCGAATATGGCACAAGGCCGGTTTTAATGTGGGTATCCCCGAGCCCGTAGGCCCGGCCAAAAATATAGCCTTTGAACCCGCCTAGACGGGTTCAGGCCCTGTCTACCTCCCCGGACGAAACCTTGCCCTTCGGCAAAGCCTCGTCCGGGTTCCTCTCTGCTAACGCAGAGAGTTCGACAGAAGGCGGACGCAGTCAAAGACCGCTAAACACCACTGACACTCATATCTGAATCTTTCAGTCATTTTAAAATCTCAAAAATCACTTTTTACTCCATATACTGTTTTCAGTTCTCTTTGGGTACAGATATTTAATTTCGATCTAATTCATAACTGAGATCTTTTAATATCATGTCCTTTCAGGATGTAAGCGGTCATGACTCTCCGCGTATTCTTTTTCTTTATTATCTATCAATTAACATTCTTGAGAAGTATAGTGGAGTTGTTTCCTAACATCGTTTCCACAGTTTCCTTCTTTTAAATTGGTTACCACCATGGCTAGATGGACCAGTCAACATTACTTGTTAATCCATAATGGGGAGAAGAGACGGATTCACGTCTTTCTATATGGAATATAGGTGTGGATGCTGTTGCAGTTTTTTGTGTATATATATATATATATATATAACTAGTTAGCCAGTCAAAATGACTTGACTCACTTTATAGTCCACCAATAGAAGGTTAACCAATCAGAAGACGTAGAATATTCAATCCGTCGTGTATAAAGGCGGCCATTTTGTTTACTCTATCCGAATGTCCAGTGCCAGCTTGTCAGGCGAAGAGAAACAGAAGGACGTACTACGCTCTGCTACTTTTACCAAAATATCCACTGCTAACCTGAACAACGCTTTCCTACTGTCTTCGAAATATTCACTGCTAACCTCTGGATTCTATACTCGAAGACGACCGTCATCATGAATAACAGATGCAACACACTAATCTGAAAATTAAACTATCCTGTAACGAAGATACCTATTTCTAAACCATGTTGAAGGCGTGTATTCGAGCACAGGTAAAAATCTGAATCGTAAATAGAAGATTTTTCAACGTAACTCTCGCCACTGAAATGAATGGTGCAAATATAATTTTCCTACTCAAAGATTCAGCTCTGTGCTGCACTAAACTCTGCTAAATTTTACTTTCGTTAGACAAGACGTTTAATCATTAAATAGTAATATTACAAAGGACTGCGCTTATAATGTTCTATGTCGTTGTAGCAGATATATTGCAGGAAGAGATAAACTCGTTCCACCTAAAAATAAATCTTGATAAACCCATCGAGACATATTGAAATTCGGTATGGATAATCATGCAAAAAGAGTGTCAGAGAGAGAGAGAGAGAGAGGGGGGGGGGAGAAAGAGAAAGAGAGATAGGGAGAGCGAGAGAAAGAGAGAAACTACGAAACTGATATAAAAGGTTGAAAGAATCCGCACACATACTGTACTCGTACAACTCGGTCAGTAGGCCAAGTAATGTATATAGATTACGAGAGTTATTAATCAGAAAAGCAGAACTGGTTAATTTGGCTTTATAGAGAGTGACTCGAGAGATAAGAACACCGGTAGATTAAAACTTGGTATCCCAGAAGATGAAGGTTTAACTCTGTGGTTAGGAAAAAGCTACCCAAGGTCACACGCGATTAACATGAAGTGTGGGAGAAGGACAACGCCTCTTCTCTTATATTCGCTGATATTTCAAAAATATACAAACTAGCTATCTACACTGGCTGAAAAAAAGGCCACAAACTTAATAAGAACAAAGTTTTATCGTCCAAATATTTGTGTTATTAAAATGAAAGACCAAACTATTTTTATTATTTCATGAAATCTTTTAATCTTTTCTAGCACGTTCGAAATTTTGGTTAAAAACTTTGTTTGTTTTTTTTCAGTCAAAGATTACTAAGGATGTAAATAACACATTGATTTGGAAATTCTTGCAAAAATCAAATAATTGTCGGATTTCAATGAAAACGCCAGGACTTATTCACAAGTGAATGAACATATTTTTTAGAATTTCTTTTAGAAAATCTCGGTAAACATAGTTTTTTTTACATCTGTTACCTCCACTTAATTTTATGAGAATTGGATAAATGAAAATTTCAGTCACTTCATTTTTTTCATAGTTAAAAGCAGGACTCTTTTGAGAATCTAAATCATCAATTTGTTTTTGTTGAGCAGCAAGATCATACCGAAAACCTTCTCTGAATCATAAAACATAAATGCAATAAAACTATGATATTATTTAATTAGGAAAGCTTTTAATTGCTTTTATAAATAAGATATATTAATGGCACTATTTTCCATGAATAAGGAATTTTTACAAGAATTGTTTTCATTTTTGTTTAAATTTTCAATTTTTCTTAATTTTAATTAGAAAAAAATGTATTAAATTCAGCCATAAGATTATTATAATATTATTAAGTGAAAACTATATTTACTAATCATGAATGGTAAAGTTTAATACCAGTCATCGAGCACCAAGATTTCTAAAAGAATTTCGAATTTTTTATGTATATAAAGGTACCCATTTTTGAAAGTATGGTCGAACATACACAACATTATCAGAAAATAACTAAAGAAAAAGTCAAAATTCCTAAAATTAGATTATGTAAAATGATTTGCAATGGTTTTAACATTATCGAGTAATTAAGATTTATATAAAAATGTTGTCACGTCATATTCTTAAACTATGTTTTGCAGATAAAGTCTCCGTAAAACAACAATCAATCTGTCACCACCTCGTCAAAGACATAAACATGGCTACTGTTGGTATAAGACAGTGCCAAAGTTTGCTTAAATAATTAATTTCTGCATTATTTTAAACTTGAAGTAAATAATATTTTTTTCAAATCAGATTAATTAGGATTTGAATCAACTAATATTGCTTAAATAAAATTTCAGAAAATTTTATTTTATTTTTTTAAGATTTTTTAATAAAGAGAGTTACATTGTGATGAAAGACGACTGAAAAAGTCAGCTATTTTAGAAAAAAATGAAAAATGGAACACCGATTCCAAGAAA